AAGCATGCACATTACAGCTTCGATATATCACTGATGCAAGCAGTTATCTATAAATTCTGGTTGGTATATACGTACCTTTAAGCTGAGGGAATAATTGCTCTGGTGCTAGAACTATGATGAGGCAGGCGCCCGATTCGATGATAGCATTTCCTACGAATACGAAAGCTTCTAACATATTGACTTGTTATTGTGTAAATACTTGCCTCGCCTAAAATTCACTCCGGTTATATGTATACTATTTTAAAAAATCGTATATATGATACATTTCTGACCTTTCTTGACCTTTTATCAACAACCAAATATATCCTCCCCTTGTGCCGTGCATATTTTTTCTGTTGCCTCTGCCGTTTGTAAATTCCGAAGGGTATGTAGGGGTGTGGACTTCCTGCACCTCGGGTAAAACGGGTTTCCCGAAGCGCTGGACCAGGCTAGGAGTAGCAAGGAGTAAGTAGGGTAATTATTTCTATTGGCTGCGAGTAAGGATTGACGCAGCAGGGAATCTCATTGGCTATGAGTTCGTCGCTATGCTCAGGGGAATGATATCCCCAGTGCCATAGAGAACAAAATGAAAACACTCAGATGCTGCCTTTCTTATATATACTTTAAATAGTCATTGCCTTCTTCTAATTTATAGACGGCAGTTTACCAGTTGTAAACAACAAAATAAAATAATGCATATATACACATAAGCACGAATATGTGTACAGTTCGTATATAAATATTTGCATATACGCGTAAACGCAAATACATTGAGCAATCTACGAATACAAAATAGCTTAACGACGGTCCTTTCGGTGCTTATGCATGCTGACAAGAACAACGACATGGGTGCATCAACACTTTTCAAATTTCCTGTACACATCATTTCAAAAGTCTGAAAGTAATATATCGATTTCAGTGTAATGATTTTTTAGGAATAGACTAGAATCGCTTATATATGTGTATATGGGAATCACATACTCGTGTCGATAGATTCCTTCACAAGCAAAATATTCTCTGCGTTCAGCTAGATCCAGTACTTCAGTACAAGACTATACATTACAGCTTCTAAATATCACTATTCAAATATGCACTATAAATAGTCGTTGATATTTAAATACCTTTAAGCTGAGGGAATATTTTCTCTGGTGCTAGGACTATGATGATACAGCCGACCAATTCGGAAAGAGCATTTGCTGCAAATACGAAAGCTTCTAACATATTGACTTATTGTGTGAATAATTGCCTCACCCTACCATTCGCTTCTAATATATGTATACTATTTATTATATATATATTGTGCGATCCGGAAATCAATGCCAGTTAACGTTAGAATTCTTTTTTTTAATTGAAGAATGAGATGAAGTTGGTAATCGTCGGATGTGAGGACCCTACTATATAGGGTATATTTATTTGTGCGTGTATGAAATATTTTGATTCACAATAATTTTGATGATTCAGGTGGCCAAACTCTACCCCAAAGTTCGGTACTCACTATATAGATATTTATATATATATATAGATATTTATATATATAAATATATATATATGTATATATATATATGTATGTATGTATAAATATATATATATATATATATATATATATATATATATATATATATGTGTGTGTGTGTGTGTGTTTATGTATGTGTATATGTGTATGTATATGTATATGTATATGTATATAAAATTTGGCCTTCCTGTTCATTTACAGAAAGCTGTGAAAAATATATATTTATTTCATGTACAGTCTTGATATGTACACATGAACACATCACATGAATGTGTTTCCTGTTCCTGTACCACCTGTGGCCTGATGTCTCTGTTGTTTACTTTTTGCCTTTTCTTTTTTCCCTCCCCCGGGCCCTAGCCCCCAGGGCCCCTGCCCCCGTGGGCCCGTACAAACCGCTGCAAATGAGAACAGATTGTGACTCATCAGGTCTCAGGAGAGTTCAAAGTTGAGACTTGAGAGATGAGACATGAGTGTGACAGTTTGTAGCAAAAACGACCGCCATTTCTAAATTCCAATTTTCTAGATACCCCGTTTTAAAATTCACACCAATAAAATTACTCTAAACCGCAGTAATATTGATACTTCGGCCAAATAAAGGTACTAGTTCACTCTCTAAAAAAAAACAGTTAAAACTAGTCATTCAAAATTTAACATCCTGCAGCAACTTTAAACCAATGATCGCGAAGTATTAAATTTTTCTGTGTGAATCTACCGTCACACAGTGGCTACCAGCGTGCGTGATGGCGAGCAATTGGATTTTAGAAAACAGTAGCTTTTGTTTTGGCGATATTTTATTATCAATGATATTGATTTCGGGGATTCAATTAGATACAATCGCGGTATTTTTAATTTAGAAAATGTGATAGTGATTTTGATACGAGTGCATATTTTCTATTTTTTAGTAAAATATAGAGTGGGTGAGAACTGAGAACTACGAAGTCGAGTACGAGTCTGTGTCTCTGTGACTGTGATCAGTGTGATCAGTGTGATCAGTGTGACACTGTGAGTGTAAATATAAAAATAAATATAGAAATGTACAGTGCGTAATTTGCGTACACGCTTAAATAGTAAATTTTTTTATTGTTTTACAGTGCCGGCCGAGAAGTTGGTGGTTAAAAAAAATTATATAAAATTTTAAAAAATGATATTGTAAAAACATCTCTTTGTTCTATCTTCTGTTGGTGAAATGTGATATACTTTACAGCACGAAAGCCGTACTGCCCATTAGTACACTTAAGCCGAAACACCCGTATGCACAAGTCTACATACACGTGAATAACACATACATACAATTAGCTAATACATGCACGTACATACAAGTAGTTTATTAATACTCACACTCTCATACAAATAGTTCATCACGACAGATCCGCTACATACACGCTAGTCATACACGCTAATATGGAGTACATCCAGCCCATCGCACGCTCCTCTCTCACCCCCAACGACGACCCACCTGCAGCTGACGTTGTAGATGTGCCGGGTGTTGGTATAATAGATGTACCCGAGATTAACCTCGCGACCGTTGTTCCTGCACTCGCAGGTCCAATCAGTCCCTCAGGCAATACCAAAGACACTGAAAGTACTGACAGAGACGGTGGAAGTGCTGAAACCAACACAGAAAGCGAAGCTAAAGATGTGCATGTAGATAATCAATCATCTGGTGGTAGTACAGTTGCAGTCCCATTGCCTGTGGAAACACCTTTGAGCGACATAGCGGCCGATGAGGTCAATGCAATGCTACCCCCACCGCCATCAGACTCCGCACAGTTCGACGACAGTGACGTAGAAGTATCAAGTGATGCGAACGCACAGCCTTCCGCATCACCTGTGCCTGCATACGAGAGCGGAGACGATGATATTAAACCCACCCCCAGTGTAACTGTAACTGATATCGATGAGAACAGCATCAACTTTGATGACAGCAATACTAGTCAAGCGCTTGGCTCGATGGCACCCCGAGAAACGCCTGCGAGGGAGTTTAGTGATCAGGTGGATCTGTTAAAGATGGGCAATGGCATTGAGAGCGAGTTTGAGCGCATTAACCAGGAATCCAAGCAGAAGGCTCAGAGCTTAACCACCAATATTGGATCAGCACAGAAAAACTCGTACAAGAACGCCGAGGGTGCACCTTTGCCTTGTATGTGGGTTTGTGTCGTTGTCTTGACATATTGTTTGATATATATGTGATGTCACTATGAAGGTTAAAATTATTATATATGAGTATCATATTCAATAGGTAGATAGTATATTTCATATGGGTGATGTCTTTGTAGGTTTCACAACGTATCTTGTGTGAGTGGGTGTCGTTGTATGTGGAGTCCAGTCTCAACCGTTCATTAGAGATGTGTACAAGTGCAAATGTGCTACAGAAACGTATATGACCATTTAAATACCCATATATACACGTATCAGTATGCACATCAACGCATTATCTTATCGGATTTGATGTAAGCGTGCAAGCAGTATTTGCATACAATTGTGTGGTAGGTGTTGGTATTTTCTAAGCATATACTTAATCATTGATGAACACGTGCACACGTATGTCTGCGTTGCGTTTAGTGGGCTGTATGTGGGTATCAGCGGAGAACTGAGTGTGATCAATCAGGTAGACAGGTTGTGGTTGGTGTAGTACACACAACTGGGAATGAAACACACAAGTTCGTGCAGAATTGCACTGTTGTGGTTTTCAGAAGTCCGTAGTCAGCCAGAGTTCCAAACCCCCTAACAGAGATACATGTGATCATGGTAATTTCACGTTGATATATCTGTGGCAATTGTTATCCCACACGCACACTGAAATGAGCAAACTGTGTATGTGCACGTGACCACTCCATAATCATTGTCCGCGCTTTTGGGCAGTCTGGCAACATGTCTTTCGCTCTGAGTATTTGATTCAGTGGCAGGGTTTCATATATGTATATATATATATCGGAACCGTAGTAGCCGTTGACTGTTCACCGTGCGCATTTGGGCGCCTAGAATTGGGCAAATAGTTATGCACAAGCGCATCTTATTATGGCACTCTACTGTTTATTGTATTGTAGCGTATCTCTTTTTTCATGTATAGTTCTAATCCATATCTATTCCTGACGTCCCGTACTTACGCTCTGCTATCTCTATCAGACGACCACTCGATTGTGGAATTAGAAGGAGAGGATCTGTACTACAACGCAAACCTGATTTCGGTATGTGGCCGGTACTTTTGGTTCGATAAGGATGAGTTAATTATAGTTTGCTCTGTACATGACTCTGTTCAGGTCATTGGTTACGAAGGTGGGCACGTTTCGCGAGCAATAGAATGCAATGTACATTTCAGAATATGGATCATTATATATACATATATAGATTAATACGTACATCTTTACCAAAGATGAATAGATAGATACATGTTGAACATGTACGTTGTACAAATACGTACACGTATGTATCTACATAGTCCATATATATTTTATTGTGTATTTGTGTACAAATACGTGCACACATGAGGTATGTATGCATGTTTTTAAAGTATGTCACACAGTCATGAAATAGTTATGTAAATATGGATATATATTTAATGTATGTAGCCAAGTACATGCACAATATATGAATCAACTTTGCATTTTAGGTATACATGTATTGATATTATCGCTTTGATCAATTACAATTATACATTTGTCCGTATATCTCGTGATGAATCTGTGTGGGCGAAGGAATATGTCAATTTCATATATATATTGGAAGTAATTTGTTCTAGCTATAACAATCGGTACAAATCTCTCCGATCGCTTGACCATACTTGAGGTATACGCATGCCTATGCATAGGCTATTCACACCGGATAGCCACAGTACCAGTACTAGCGTCTTGTAGTGGCATTGTATACACATATTTGACCATTTTTGTGTATCTCGTTGATATTTCTAGGTTTTCATTTCTACTCACCAAGCATGCATACACTTTGTCTGTTTTGCTCACTATATATAGGAACCAAGGGGGGGGGTGTTTAGTTTGCATATACATCATCTAATCTGGCTGTTGTTGATGTGTTCAAGAGTACATACACGTGCACTGCCTACCGTCCATCGCACACGATCGTACAATACACCGTCACGTTTCTCTGCACATATGTTCCCAATTCACCGGACTGACGTCCTGGAGGCAAACTCTGACACGAATTAAATGGATTAGCTTATGAATATGCGCTCATCGTTCACCATATCACATCCGCGTGTAGGGCAAGCAAAAAGGAGATCGCCAATACATAGCCGCACAGGGCCCAACCGAGGCCACGTTCAAGGACTTCTGGACCATGATCTGGCAGGAGGAGGTGCACGTGATTGTCATGGTTGCTGACGACAATGAGGTTAGTGTATCTATATATATTCACATGTGTGAGTGTGTGTGTGTGCATGCTCGAACAACTTTGTGGAGATGACTAAGTGGGTCGTCTGTCTCTATAACGCCAGGAAACGGTTAAGTGTGTTGCTTTATACGACCACTGGATGAGAAGGCTTTCTATAAGTTTGTGTATGTGCTGCTAAGCATTTCTTGTTGCCTCCCAATTCAGTGATTAGTTTGTTGAAGTCCTCCGATACTGTTGGCATAGTGCTTGTATATCCCTGGCTCATGTGTGTGTGCTTCACTTTTGTGTGTGCTTGTGTATCTTTCACCCATATGTGTGTGCTTCACTTTTGTGTGTGCTTGTGTATCTTTCACCCATATGTGTGTGCTTCACTTTTGTGTGTGCTTGTGTATCTTTCACCCATATGTGTGTGCTTGTGTATCTTTCACCCACATGTGTGTGCTTGTGTATCTTTCACTTATGTGCTTGTGCTCGTGTATCACTGACTGATCTATATATGTTGTTCCATGGCGATTGATATATGCATACATATTCGCCACATACATATGGTTGAAATGGCAATATCCATACCAATGCCTCCCCCCCCCCCGGAGGCGCATTTAGATCCATTCCAGACGATTAATCTGAAATTTTCAAACCTATCTCCATCATTTATTCTCAGGTGTACAAATACTGGACAGACAAAGACGAGAGCCAGCCGGTATCCGAGGTCTTGGATGTTATGACCACCGAGTTGTTTGACTATGGCAAATTCTTGCTACGCGTCTTGTCACTGTCCGACTATGAGGTGAGTGACATAAGTATATATGTATGTATACCTATGTATTTTACCTAGATGCATGGAAATCAGTATATACTGCATGCACGAGCAGTACCTGCATATATATGTGGATTTAGAGTCTACTTGTTGTCGAGTGATTGCATGAACGAACCTCACGAGTTATATACACAGTTCCTTTGTAATGTGCACTCCAATTTCATTGTTATTCACTGAAGATTTCTTTTGTGTTGCGTGCACAATTGCATGGTAAGCTAGCGAAAAGTATGTACGTGCGTGTGTGTGTGCGTTCGTGCGTTTTGAGGGCTTTTTCCTGTTGGAGACAGGTAAACAAACCTAGATCACTGACGTTGATATACTAGCGATTTACCCACGTGCTTAAGCTGATGTTCTGTATTTTACTTCTATAGACTGAGGAGAGCAGATGGATCTACCAGATTCAGCACAAAGACTTCAACAGTTTCAACGTGGATGGATTCAAGGATCTGCTAAAGTTCATCGATCACTACGAGGTGGGTGGGGTTTTCCGGAATCATCTTTATTGTTATTATTGTTTCGTTGCTTTCGGAAATCTAAACGGAGATTCTTGAACAAACTGTATGAACAATCGGATGTATATAAATGGATGCGAATGTGCACCTTTAGCTGACTATATGCTCCTCAGCATATACATGGATTGCATAGTCTGGCACTGCGGGAATTGGTTTCATAGGTCTGTTTTATAGGAAATGATTATATGGGTCTATAACTGTGTCTTGATGTCGCGAATGCTTCTTAACTGTATATTACAAATATACTTGTTCATATCTTGTTTGCTTGACAATTACCACCTGTAGTCACAGTCGCCTGGGAAGACTGTGTTGGTGCACTGTGTCCATGGGTGCGGCCGCACGGGAACAGTCATTGCTGCGGACATCATGAAGAACAAGCTGGAGGCCAACCCAGACATGGATATTGACCTCCCCTCACTTGTTAAGAACCTCCGGTATGTGATGTTTATATACATGTGTGTGTGTGTATATATATATATATGTGTGTGTGTGTGTGTATATATATATATATGTGTGTGTATATATATATATATGTGTGTGTGTGTGTGTATATATATATGTGTGTGTGTGTGTGTGTGTGATTGAGTCTTATCTACACTGTATCTAGTATAGCGAATTTGAAGATGCATCAATTGAAACATCGCCATGATAGTGTGCCGTAATGCTTGAACGTGTCAACTGTACGACTTCTTTCACGAAGTTTATTGACGTGTTACATGCATCAGATATGTATAAAATATGTATATATGTAGGAATTTTGAGGATAGTGTGAACTGGGGCGATCCCATACCTATATCATCTTCTATGTGTGAATGTGTACATGATAAATTCCCATGTACGCATTCATACATGTATGTGTAGCGGATACACTACATTGGGTTGATGCTAAATGCTTTCATAATTATGGTAAGCGACCGTGTACCCATATAGCATGCATTTCTAATTTCAGTTATCCAATGTTCATGAGTACTTCCTACGTCAGCATTTATATCGGACGGTCTGTTATGAGTTGCCTATGTCTTCCTTATGTTCATATTGATTGAACATGTTGCCTATGTCTTTCTTATGTTCATATTGATTGAACATGTTGCCTATGTCTTTCTTATGTTCATATTGATTGAACATGTTGCCTATGTCTTCCTTATGTCTTCCTTATGTTCAAATTAATTGAACATGTTGCCTATGTCTTCCTTATGTTCATATTGATTGAACATGGAGGACAAGCTTTAAGCTTCTAGCTTGTATACTCTTATCTCTTACTTTGTTCTCGTATATGCATTAATTTGTTCGTATGCACCCCTCCCCCGCGCCAGAGAGGAGCGGGCAAGTCTTATCGCTAGTGTGGACAACTACGCGTTCTTGTACGAGTACGTAGCCAGCCTAACCCGTGACATCCACGGTCAGAAGGAGAAGGAATCGGCACCCCCCACACCTGAACCTCAGCTACTCAAGTCCGGCGATGAGGACGAAGGTCGCAAACGCAGTGGCTCTGCTGTGTACAAGCCCACCAGCAAGGATGTCCCCCACTACTATCGCGACTCTATAACTCCCATGGATAAACCGGTAGGTCTCAGTGTCCGCGACAACACGTAGGAGAGCGTGTATTTCTGTTGTCTTGGGTCTGCTGTATATAACCCTCACTTCTGCAGCGATTCGATCGCATGCCTGGCTGACATTATGTGCGTGTGCATGTTTTGCGATTTGCTTACTCGTAAATAATGTCGGTGGACCCACTCATTATAAGCCATGTACCCAGGTCTGTGTTCCTCATATGAAGCAACCTCATCACTGTAGCTGCTCCGTCGATGCTTGTGTGCGTGTGCGTGTGAAGCCTCGTCACAGCAGCTTAAAATATAGATTTGGCTGAGATGCCCAAATAGTTCCATCGCGACTCGATGGAGTTTGTTGTTCATATTTATCATTACCTGCTGCCTAATATTCATTGGTCGTACATTTTCGCCGCCCACCGTATTCACCGTTTATTACTCGTCGTAACCTAATTAATCAAAATCAAAAACATCGACGCTACGTTCCTGTTATTGTCCTGTTTCCCAACGGTACATATCACCTCTTATTGCACACGCACAGATCGACGTACCCGATGAGTTCGACGAGCGTCAGGCCAAACGAGGCCCGCCCCGCCCCCCAGCCCCCAAGCGACCCCCTCCCCCTCCGTCCACAGTTATTCGTGGTGTAAGCTCCACACGAGGTCCACCTAAAAGTCCGGCTAGAAGTCCAGCATTGGGCTCGGTCTCAAATACACCTTCACGCCAGGCTAGTGTGTCTGGTCACGGAACTGTACACTTTGGAGATGATGCGGTCGAACCCTTGGACCCACCTATTTTGGTCAAGAAGAGGAGTTTCTTGCAAAGAATGTCGCACAAGATCAAGAAGACGGCTAAGTACGGCAACATCCCCAGTAAGTGCAGTTTAGTGGCAGCTTCGTTTACCCAGCCCACCTCTCATTTCGTGAATGTCTTCTGCCAACACCTATAGAAGCGGACTTTGTGTAGCATGTTTCGATGTAGCTGCGTGATGTCCTGGCAATCTTTTGTATTAATGCCTTCATCTCTGCTGTCCCATCAAGCAAGTGAGACTACTGAATCTTAGGCTTTTCAGATCCCCATTCCACTTCTATTTCCCCCATTCCGTATGAAACTAAAAGCACCAAGCATTTAGTATTTGAGACACCAATTCTCTACATGGTACATTGTCTCATATCTTCATTGTGTGACACCGCTCCACGCTCAGTGATCCGACCGCAGAAGGGTGAGCACAAACTCGAACACAAGATGAAGAAGGCCGAGAGCCAGTACATGGAACCTACTTTGGTGTCTGAATGGATTGATAAGCTGGTAAGTACAGTACACTCAAGACGCCTCTGCGGGTTTCTATTTGTGTGTGCAATGTTTTGTTTTTTCTCTGTGAGACGTATAGTGGTCGCAATGTATGTCCTTAATGCGTGTGTACTCAGAGGTTGCTCTACGTGTGTGCGCGATCGATGCAATCTACGCGCTCAGTTGTCTATTCTTTGTTGGTGCTGGCTGTTACTATGTCACTTCTGATGCATATTCCAAGTGGTAGTTTATTTTCCTGTAGTCAATATCTTTTGCACATATATAAAAGGTATATCTCATCTTCGAGGAATACTACATTCGTTTCACAAGTGTCGATTCTACTGTATCATAAATTTCATTGTTCGAGCATGCGCGACTTACCTTTTCGTGCACGGACTAGTTATCGCGAGATATGCGGTTTATTCTCAACTGCTTTCTTGGGATTTTGACCCGGATTCTAACCGTCGGATTCTCTACTTTGAATCTGCGTTTCACAGAACTCGGATGAAAAGGCGCCCACATTAACGCTCTCGCCACCCGAAGCGGAGAGGAAGGTTGCGCCTTCACTGGACAAGTCCATCGGACTCATCTCATACGAAGCGTTGAAGGTTGATAACTGGTTTGCGCGCCCGAAGGGTCCCAGATCCATGCCTCTGCAGTGGTTCCAGGGCTTGCCACCCACAAACGAGTACTAAAATATCGATATATATTCGAGAGAGGCATGAAAGCCAACCACTAAGCAATCAATATTGTAAATAAAATTTATTTGTTGCACAACATCACTCAGTAGTTGGAAAATGGTCGTCTACCAGTGAGATTTTCTTTTATGAGTGCGCAAATGCATCCCTCTATATGGCTTGTAGATATTGGTAGGTGTGTGGGGGGGAGGGGGGGGTGATTCAAATATGCTACGTATGCGTATCGCTCTTTTGAGATTCGATACAGGAAATAAATATTTTACCGTTGTAATTTACAATGACAACACGAACGCCTAAACCTTAGAGATGATTGGGATACCATGCATGAATTCAAGTACACGAGTGTTACGCCCTGTCATTTTGTTAGTAGGTTTGACCGGCCATGAGAGATTCTGTGCTCTTCCAAAAGGGTTTGCAAGATTGACTTGTGCTATTCAGGGTTGGGTAGTAAATGATTATGATAAATGATTTATGCGGGGTATATACATTTAGCCACTACTTCAGTTTTAAAATGACTTGTAGCCTCACAGTCCGCACTCAAATCCAAAACGATAGCAACGAATCTCTGGCAAAAACCGTATTCACAGCTTTCTAGGAGGGAGCCCATTTTTATGTCGATAGGTACGTCAAGGGTCGCAAAAAATATGCTTCCGCCCGTATCTCTTGGGTGGAACCCCAAGTTTGCCTGACCATCCATGTGTTGACAAAAGTAGAGGATGTAGATGGATCTCGTAGCGACTAACTTGCAACTAGAAGTACATTCCAAGAATAGATGATTCCCAACATATGCATCGTCATTTATAGTCTTCCTCACTAATACACCACGAATTGAGACCTGTCGGATGTCGTTCGTTTAAATCTTATTTCAAATGATCATTGATATTTTTTACTCCACTCTTATAGCATATAAATTACTCTTTGATTGTTTACATCTCGTTACTGATTTATTTCAATTTCGGATTCAGGTCAGTGCATTCAAATGGGTGCGCAATTGTCGGTTGGTGTCAATCGAGAACAAACTGACGTGGAATTCCTCCGAAAACAAGTTGAAAACGCTGGTAGGGCATTTAGCGTTAAGCATAAGGACACAATTCGAGTCATATCAAAGTCTAAGTACTACAGTTTCTCGCACAGTTAAATCAGAAGTTCCTTCTAAACTATGGCAAATCAATCTTTAGCCAATCACCTCGCATCGCGCAGCATATCTAGTTTGCTTCCTCCTTTGGTTCGTTGTGGTGGCGCTACCTACGGTCTGTCGTTTTTACTGGAATTGAAAATGTAATATTTCTATTCTGAATGCTCTGAGTTCTAGTAATATTGTGAAGAATGGAAGGCTGAATACTGCAGGGCGGCCGGGTTGGCTTTTCAATGTTTTTCCGAGTGAGAGTATGTCCTTCATTGGGTCTGTAGCCAGCTTATATACCCCCGCAGAACGTTGTGTGATGCGCGCATAAGATCCAGTGTGGTCCAGCCCCCAGGCTACCCAAAAAAATTCAATGTTTCCCTAGCAGCTTCATTCCACGCAATGGCACACTGGTTTTAGTTCTCACCCAATGGTAGAGATATTCTGTATCCATCGCCGTGAACTAACGCAACGTATGTCTTTCACCGTTGCATCACTCGCCCCGAGCTTCTCGCGGCAGTTCGACAATGTCAACTTCCCTTGAATTTTGCCAGAACCTCTTCGACGAACATGAAGCCTGATGTACATGTAGACATATAAAACTTTATCCAAATTGAAATAAATAATATTATCCGAATTCATTATGCCTATCCGGACTCATATCTCATCTGAAAATGTCCATTCAAATAGATGGTACTAGGAGACTATTCAGGTGGACTATGGGTCATGCACTCGTAGATATTAGAAGTCGACTATATCTTAGAGCTTTTTGATTTCACTAGCGAAGATACATTTCAATCCTTTTAGAGTACGAGTGGAGGGTGGTGGGGACACCCTCCTATGTGTACAGTTACAGGTATACCTACACCTACAGGTACATGTACAGGTACACGTCCTCTTCCTTCGGTATTACAAGACCAGGTCAAAGACACTTTTTGCAAAGTGGTGTTATGTATTTAGTTCTAGGACAATGTGTTGGTGTGTGCGTCAATAATTTATTTTTATTTTTAAATACGCCAATGTTTGTGTGGTACAAGTGTATGTCTACATATTATTGGCACGTTCAAAATGATTTATAGGAAGTGTTTGAGCTCGCTGGCTAAGTATATTCACAAGCACACGACAGAAAGAATATCTCTTTACGAGAGGAAGTCGGTGTAGTGTGTATTATGCAGAATCGGAGAGAATGGCGAGAGAATCGCACTGCCAGCAATTGTCGAACTCAAAACCGAACCTGATTCAAATTAAAGCCATGCCGCAGGCGAGAGCACGAAATTAATAAAGAATATGAGTGTAGTTTTGACAGTTTGTCGTGAATATGTAGACATGAATACGGTGAACGAACTATAGAGAGTCGGAAAATGTGTTCATGTGCACTAAGAATGTTTTTGCTTACCAAAGTGCTAGAACAAAATACTGTATTGTAAAACAATACCTGACGAAGGTGTCTCCATCGCCGCTTATAAAGGTTCATCCATTTTCAGTGCTTGCAGTTGGGGTACACTAATTAGCCTTAGAGACACCGAAGATTTAAAGTGCATTAAGCAAGATTGTGGTATCTATGCTCGGATGCAAATATTTCAACAGCGTCAGAGAGACCAGTGATGATAGAAATTTGATTTTTGACCTGTGACTACATTGGTCATTTACGTACTACTATGTCCAACAAGTGGCACTCTTTGGACCAAATTATGCACACTCGATATTAACTTGTTTATAGTACTTCGATTTAACACAGACCATTGAGTAACAGTTGCTCGAAAATATGTCTGAACTGCTCGTTCTTCATTATTTTGTATGATCTTTAGAGAACGAAATATTACAACTGAGAAAGAAAAGTTCCCCAATTTATGCATGTTAAAGAATATGGATAGGTCAACCAATATATTTGTGAACTTAATTATGGTCGGATTAGTACCAGTCGATTCAATTTTAGATTAAGCTTGCAATGCTATCAGGACCGTTGAGGAAATTTTAATAGATTGAATATAAAGATACGTTTTCTCAAATTCGTACTTGAACATTGCTCAGAAAATCATTTTTCTATAATGGATGAAAAACCACACACAAAAAAAATTTGGATGGCAACCCCCGGTCGAAAAGGACTTCGATGCCAGAATGAATATTTTAGAATATTCTTACCACAGTCTCTCATCTATAGTATTACTGGAGTGTCTAGTGTATCCCTGGCATACTCGTGTAGATAGATACACGATGTCTATACTTCGTTTTGAATTAGGTTTACTGTATCGGTACGCTGTATAGCCAAGATGTTGAATTCATTTTGGGGATCAATATACAAAAGCAACGAGTTTGCGACTTCCGTTTCTCGCATGATTTTGCTATACTCTCTAGCGTTCGTGACGTCGCACTCACTGATCGATTTATCAAAATATGTAAGAAGTTGTTTTTGTCATTGTGACCAGCAACTTCTTAAAACTGACATCCAGGCTTAAGTCGAGTAGTGTTCAATGGATCTCAACAGTATGGTTTTTTGTATGCACGGGCATTGCATAGACGAAATGGCACAATACTGCAAGCTTCATTCTTAAGCCTGCTTGTTGAATTACTCAAAAAAAAAATCAAAATCAAAATCAAGACGAAAATTATTTTTCGAACCGCCCGTCATTGTGTGCTTTTGTCTTGGCATATTTGAAGATGAGGAAAAGTGAGATATACATTGTGGTACCAACCTACAAGCAGGTACTATCAATTTTTCTCACCCCCATTAATGACCAGTCTCTAATTTTTCGTTTCCTTTTATTAATATACTCAGTTCAGCCTTATCGAGCTCTTTATGGGATACATCTTTCTAAATTAAGAGAATCGGATAATCCCTATAGACTGAATTCAGTTTTTCAGAAAAACTATGATCTGCTTGACAGTTTGATAATGGAAAAACGTATGATGCCTATCGTGGCATCACAATAAACTGTATTAAATGTCTGTGATTTTAGTCGGGTCATAATAGGTATACGAATATTCTGATATTACTATCAACTTATTCTTTCAAATTTACTCAAACATATCCTTGACGAGGCAAAGATGCTTCCTTCAGATTCAAACAGAATCCTCCAGGCAATATTTGCGGCGAAGGGGTACCAGAATATCAGCAAGAACGTCACTTCCCCATAATTTATTTTCACTTCCTCCTCATATTTTATCTTCAATTCCTTCGTACTTTATTCTCACTTCCCCATATTTCATTTTGACCACGGACTTTTTGGCAAAATTTTGTGAGCTCTTAAGACTCCGGCCACTATGCCTAACAATTTTGCGCTCGGCTGCTATGCGCCCAACTATGACTCCCACCGCTATGCGCCCAATTAAGACACACGCTGATAGGCGACCAATCCTCGCCTTTCGCTGAATGTGCAGCCCACTCTCGCCCCTCGCTAAATATGCGCCCCACTCTCGCCCCCCTCCAAATTTGCGTCCCTCGCCCCCTGCTGAATATACCCGACACTATCGCACACTTCTACTATAAATAGCTAGTATCTAAGCATTATTCCATTAGAAAGGGCGGGAAAGAAGTAGGTAATAAAGAAATAAATCGATTCACGTGCATATAGACGAGCGTTCACGACGATTTTAATATAACGGTCACAAAATAAATAATATTAATTTTCGCACGTCATACATCGCATACGTAACTGCTAGCTGAGGAATGTTGTAAACTAAGCTGTATTTGAGTCAGTAATCTGTCCAATTTTTTATCGATTAATGCAAAATTTCTGGGAGAGAAGAGAGCATCAATGTGGCCGTAACTGGTAACATTAAGGTATGCTGATAATTTATATGATTTATACGATCACAGATATTTTAAGACCAACTCTTAAGTTTGGTATTTTACTGGGGCCTTTTAATGGCCTCATCCAAATATCTGATATGTAAAATGGAAAAGGTATTAATTAATAAAATCATTAAAACCCGTTTAGGAAACTTAAGTTCCTCGTACTATTAAGAGTACGTTTATATTTTACGTACTGCTTAAGAGTACGTTTATAACATAGAGTCTAATGTGGAGGCCCGGCTATTACACAGCCCCCACCCAGCTTTGAAACCCATGAGAAGCAAGTTGCTCACTCAAGCTGATTATGGGTCAAAAAGTGAGAATGGAAAAACGGGTCGAAAACATTAAAAGTTGCTCACTCAAGCTTATGGGTCAAAAAGCGAGAAAGGAAAAACGGGTTTAAACATTAAGTAGCATAACATATAGTTAATGTTTCTCAGGCGGAGAAGTTAAGTGTTATCGGTTACCCTGTGAGTTTTGGGCTTAGGTCCAGTAGGTCCG